CCGTTTGCCAGTCGTGACAGTGTGGTCTAGCGTTGAAATTGTGAAATTATACGCTTAACTAAGATGCATTAGAGGAATTATTTTTTTCGTTTATAAGTAAGTTTGCGATATAACTATATATAGGATTTTGTAGTCACCCTACATCACATACGGTGAGGATAATTGGGGCTTCCCCTAATGCTATGAGTAAGTTCCACAATATTATTGAATTTCCATTGGCATTATTTCCCAAACAATTTTCCCATTAGAGGTTTACATTAATTGCGACCTCGCCTAGGTTTCATTTACACCCCCGAATGGACTCGAATCCTGGTTGTGCAGCCTACAGTCTCGACGTGTTAACTACCAAGCCATACCGCCAGGAATGCACTTGGGTCACAGGACCGAAGTTAATTTCAAGGAGGTATAGTCCTTTCACACATTAGCTTAAGCGAAATAGAGTGAATAAAGCTCTTACATCAGAGTAAGTAGTAGTCTCGAAAACCTACTTATAAACAGTAACCGGGTATTCTGCCTCGAAGCTTACTTCATATGCATATGAGTAAATTCGTCAATTGTAATGACAAATTATTTTTAGGGGGACCCTCATTTCGAATGAAAGTACATTAAGAAGAGATTCGTTGGTCGATCTCACCAGAAGAGGACGGATGAATCCCGTTGTACTTCAACCATTTGGCTTTTATGCGATGTTCATGTTGACGTAGCCCACGAGACATCCTCTCTCGTTTCGGGTAAAAACGTGCTGAGCTTTCGTCCATCAAATGATGGACATCATCAGAGCTGGGTGTCATTCTTGTAAAAGTCTCACATTAACACTAAAGCAAGAACACTATCCAGCTCTATCTTACTTCTTATATAGACTCAATCTAGCCAAAAAAAATTAAAAATTAAGAAGGATATAGAGTGGTTTTGTTAATTTTCTTTCATACTGGTTCTGTTATTTTTGCTAGATTGTATGAGTATGTATATTTGTGCACTTTCATTCGAAATGAAGGTCCCTCTAACAATGTTATCTGAGGAGATTAATCGAAACCAACTTTCTCTTCGTATCAACAATCCCATTATAGAAATGTGATATGGAAGAGAATCGGCCCGCTTCGAAATCCATTTTTGCCCTGTGACACACTTGCATTCGTGAAGGTGCTACGTAGTAGCAACATGTCGAGATTAAAGGCTGCACAACCCGGATTCGACTCGCATTTGGAGTGCTGATTAGGTCAAGGAAAAGTTGAAATTGCAGTCCCCCTGAATGAGATGAGTCTTCTGGAAGTAATGGAAACGTAAGGCCTACTGATACGTTTGTGGGAAAATTCAACTACCATTCCATCATAAACTTATGCGATCTAGGCTGGCAAGAGATCTTATGCAATATTTACGGATAACCCACTCTCTATGCAAATAACCAAAAGAATTGATTGAACCGGTAGCCGTGCCGAAAGTTGAAAAGAACGGATAAGCATAACATACGTCAACGAGTAACAAGCCGTTAGACCTTATACCACCTACGATTACAATCACAATCTTTAAACCTAGTTTCTACGACTAATACGCTTTATTTTCGTATTAGAGTTGAGTTTCGAAACTACCAGTAAATCAGTAATATGAGATGTATTCACCTTATTTCGTCTAAGGTGATGAAGGACTGGTAGTA